TGCCTCTTTCTCCCCTCTCTCTCTCTCTTTTTTTTTTCTCGTGTTTGTCTTTCTGGTGTTTGTGTTCACATCGCCGTGCGTTTCCTTCACCGCCTGTCGTTGGCTGATTTTTAGAAATTACGGAGCTCAACGGGGCGTTGGCCGCTCACACATCACACGACACCGGGAGCCATTAGCCACCACCGATACCGACCTTGTTGTTGTTGTTGTTGCTGCTGTTGTCTAAAGGGAGAGAAGAAGAAGATTTAGCGGAGAGGAGAACAAAAAGAAATAATAATAATAATAATAAAAAGAAATAATAATAAAAAGAAATAATAATAGAAATAAAAAAAATATGAGTCGTGGGATTTTAGGGTTTAATGTGCATGATGGGTGTATTGAGGCGATGGTCCATGGTTACAAGGATGGGTTTCTGAGGCCAGAGGAGTACAGCAGCCTGGCGCAGTGCGACTCCCTTAGCGATATGAAGTCTCAATTGCAAGTCACGGATTATGGCAACTTCTTGCAGCAGGATGGCCAACTTACATCACGGGTGATTGTCAACCGGGCGCAGGAGCATCTTGTACGTCAGCTACGTGACCTGCGGGAATGGGCAACCCCACCGCTCTCACAGTTTCTCGACTTTATTGTGTACGAACACATGATATCGAATGTATTGAAGCTTGTCATTGCCAAGCGCAGCGGTCGGGAGAGTCTTGAGTTACTGACGAAGTGCCACCCACTCGGTTGGTTTCCGGAGCTCGTGTCATTGACCGCCGCTGCGGATGTGCAGGAGATGTTCCACGTTGTGCTCATCGACAGCCCAGTCGGCCGTTTCTTTAGTGCCGATGGCGACTTTGCGCGCGACCTCGATGAGCTGTCGGTGGAGTACATCCGCGGTGTATTGATGCGGAACTACCTGGAACAGTTTTACGACTTCTGCTGCGAACTCGGCGGCGAGACGGCGTCTGTCATGTGTCCGCTGCTTGACTTTGAGGCGGACCGCACGGTGCTGACATTTGCCGCGAACACAATGGGGATGCGGGAGATGCACGCGGCGGATCGACGAAGACTCTTCCCGAATATTGGCACACTTGTGGACATCCACGACGAAATTGCGGAGGTTGAAAGCATGGAGCAGCTGCGGGAGCGACTGCGACGCTTCGCCGAAATGCACGAGATCTTCGACGACGGGAGAGGGGGTGCCGGCGGCGGCGTGGACGCGGACCGGCATTCCGTCGAGAAGCGCTTCGTGGAACGGTCCGTCGTGATTTACAAGGACGCCATGACGCGGCAGTTTCAGTACGGCGTCTTCTACGCGTGGGTGAAGCTGCGGGAGCTGGAGGTAAACAACCTCCAGTGGATTGCCGACTGCATCATGCAACGCATGATGCATCGGGTTCACGAGTACGTCAATATTGTGTAGAAACGGGGTGGGGGAAAAAGAAGGAGGGAGTGAGAGAGAGAGGGACAGGGGGGTGGGGAAAAAAAAAGAAAAAAAAAAAAAAGAAGGAACGACAAGCAAAAAAACAGCTTCGAGGTGTAAGTGAGACGAAGGGACGTTGATGCCATCATGGCGTCTGTGCATCTGTACAAATTTTTCTTTATTTCTCTATCATTTCATATTTGTCTATGGACGCATTGCAGATGTCACTCTGGGTGGAACCGTTCTATATATATATATATGTATTTATGTATGCACACATACACGCACCATTTCTTTCTCTTTATCTCTACAAATTTTTTTTTTCTTTTTGCATTGATATGCATCTTATTGAAATTTACTTAAAAGAGGAAAGAGAAAGAAAAAGAGGAAGAAAAAGAAAAAAAGAAAAAAAGAGAGAGAGAAGCTGCAACCATTTTTTCTGGCCGTTGGCAAATTGCAGGGTCGTTTTGTTTTCTGTGCATGGTGGAAGCCGCTGTAACCATTTGGTCATAAACCGTCTACACGCATATATATATATATATACGCTGAAAGTGAGAGAGAGAGAGAGAGAGAGAAGCGTGGGGATGAAATCATTTTTCTCGCGTGTCGTGAATTCATGGAAGAGACAACGGCTTCCGCGGTCAGATGTTGACTGCTCGGATTTTGTGCGCGTGCGTCCCGATGCCCCAGGCGTTGCTCGATTACGTCAAATCGTACAAGAACGACGTTTTGGCGCCGAAAACGGAGGTGCACCATCACCAGCTGCCAACTCTTCGGAGGCGCTGCATCGAGAAGCGAGTGTGCGGAGTACCGTCTTTGATCTGCGGTACCGCTGTGGAGGAGCTGGCCGTTGTGTTGAAAACGACTACCGCTGTCGTTTCCCATGCTGCTTTGCGATGCGGCCTGTGACAAAAGGGGCGGAGGTGCTCGCCGAGCGCCTTGCGTATGAGGTGGACGACGCGCCAACACCACAGATTAGGGCGTTGGTGCAGATGGCGCGGGATGAGAAGCTTGACGCCGTTATTCAGGGCATTCAGGCGCTTGTCAACGCGCAGATACGCGAGGTAGCTGGCGGCCGTGAGCTGCTGGCAGCGCTGCAGCCAAGTCAAAGGGAGCAGCAGGAACAGCAGTTGGGGGTCGATGACTTCAACCCTGCCGCCCCAAAGTACGGCTGCGGGAGTGTGGCGGAGGGCGTGAACCCGCTTCTTGAGGATGCGTCCTTGCGTAGGGAGGTCATGGCGTTGTATCTGTGGCGCGCGGCGTTACTTGTAAACGTGCGGGAAGACGAGCGGGCAGTGAGTTCTCTCCTCAATCTAGCGGCGTTGGTACCACAGGAAGATCGGGAACGTCTTTACACGTCTGCTGCCGCATGGGCTGCGCTGAATGACATGGAGATTGTGTACTACCGCTCTCTTTTGCAGCAATACGAGGCATTTCCTGAGGCAATGACATTTGCGCATGACCGTCCATTGTTGTTGAAACGTGTTTTTGAGGCGTGTGGGGAGACTGCGTACTTTTTGGAGTGCGCAACGCAAGTTGTTTTCTCCAAAGAAGTCACAGCGACCGTTTCACGTGCTCAGGGGGCGCAGATGTACGGTGACTTTACGGAGGATCCAATGAAAAGTTTATGCATTCCTCTTTCTCTGCAGTATTATCGATTTTGTGTCAGTGATGCCTTTTGGGAGCATTTTATGCGTCTTCTCTGCATGCCGCCGATTCCTGCCCCTAACACCCCTGAAGAACGCGCCCGCGACCCCGTAGAGCAGCTGGGACTCACACCAAACTACATGCTGGATGCCATTGGTCGCTCCATGATGTTGCATCACCTTGTCATGCTGCATGAAGCCCGTGAGCGCGACATTGCCAGTGGCGCCATTGTGGATGTCGTGAAGCAAAAAAAAGCTCAAGGGGGCGAGGGCAGCGTCGTGCATCCGTTGCACTATGAACATGTGCTCAAAGATCGTGAACGTGGTATTGCTATCACCCGATTGCGTGAGTTGTTGTTTCTTGCGCGTTCCTATAGGAATCCACAGAGGCCGTTGGACGGTGACGACAGCGACGGAGTAGGTGAAAAGGGACACATAGCACCCAAAACGGATTCTGCTGCTGCTGCTGCTGCTGTGACTGACAATAGGCCGATCCTATAGGCGAGGCGTGGTTATGTGGGATATATATATGTATATACATCTCCTTGGGGTCGGTATCAATTCTCGAGTGGGTTGTGAGGGGAAGTCATGACGTTATATATGTGTGTGTGCGTCTGTGGGGCGGTTACAGGAGGAGCGAAGACACATGTGCCCTCCTCTTTGGAAGAAATAAATAAATAACTAAATAAATATTTCTTTTTTTTTCTTTTTTTGTGTACATGACCGTGTAGGTTTATTTTTTTTTTATTTAGGTTTTATTGCGGGGGAGCCATATTTCTCTTCCTCCCGCTCTTCTTTCTCATCCTCTACATGTTGCGCCGCTCTCTTCGCCTGCTGCAGTACAACGCGCCGCTGTCGTATCCGTACGCGCCGCCAAACCCTGCGGGTGGGCCGTATGACGCTTCCACCGTCTCCGCCGCCTCTACCGCTGGTGCCAACAACAGCGGGGGGTACAACTACAGCAGCAGCAGCGGCGGCAGTGGGAGCCCCAACATGGGCGGGGGGAATCTCATGCAGCGGGGCAACCGTGTCCACCTCAACCCCGCCTCGTTTGTGGAGAGCGTTCCACGCAACACAATTTTCAACATCGTTCCACAGGGCCGTCAGTACGTTGTGGAGCGCCTTGGACGGTATCACCGTACTTTAGAGTCCGGTTGGTGGTTTGTTGTGCCGGTGCTGGACAAGATCCGCTACTGCTACAGCGTAAAGGAGCAGGGGGTGGAGATCCCCAATCAATCAGCCATCACCTCCGACAACGTCATGGTGGAGATAGACGGCGTCCTCTTTCTGCGCATCGTCGACGCGGAAAAGGCGAGCTACAATATTGAGAACCCCGTGTACAACCTGCTGAACCTCGCACAGACGACGATGCGCAGTGAGATTGGCCGTCTCGACCTTGACACACTCTTTCGCGAGCGGACATTACTCAATAAAAACATCGTGGAAGTACTGCGCCGTGAGGCACACGACTGGGGCATTGAGTGCAAGCGGTACGAAATTCGGGACATCACCGTCAGCGAGCTCGTGCGTCGCTCGATGGATCTGCAGGCGGATGCGGAGCGTCGCAAGCGGCAACTCATTCTGCAGTCCGAGGGCGAGGCACAGGCGGAGGTGAACCGTGCGGAGGGGCTTAAAAGAGCCCAGCGCTGCGCTGCGGAGGCACAAAAGTATACCGTTCTGCAGCGCGCGGAGGCCGAGGCGGAGGCCACAGGAGTCATGGCCGCCGCAATCTCGAAGAGTGTCACGGTAGTCGCGGCGTCACTCGAGAAGACGCCGCGTAGCAGCGACGCCGTCGCCCTGCGTGTGGCGGAGAAGTACATTGAGAAGTTCGGCGAACTCGCCAAGACGACAAACACGGTGGTGCTCGGGAAGAACGTTGGCGACCCTGCAGAGTTCTCGGCACAGGCGCTTTCAATATTTAACACCATCAACAACGCGTACACAGGCGGGAAGGGAAGTAACAGCATTGGCTGTATTGGCAGCGGCAACACGTTGGCTTCTTCTTCTTCTTCTTCTTCCACTTCAGGCAATTAGAGTTTTGAGGCTACTTTGTGGTGGGTTGGTTGGCACCATGTCGCACGATTTCTTCTTGGGGCGAGACATATACGACCTGTTCATTCATTCATACATAAACTCCGAGTACATCTCCTCCAGGACGCACATGTTGGCTCGTCTCTGTTTTGTACCGTTGTAATTGTTATGTTTGTTTGTTTGTTTGTTTGTTGTTCCCTTTTTTTTTTTTTTCGTGAAAATTGGCGCCTCTTTTCTCTTTCCCCCCCCCCCCCCCTTATTTTTGTGTCTTTCTGTCTGTCTCTCTCTCTCTCTGTGTGTGTGTGTGTGTGTGCGTGCGTCAGCGGTTAATTTCTCTCCGGATGACATCCCTGCGCTCTTTGTGTAATATATACATTACATTCATATGCATCTATATCTATCTATATATATATCTATCTATATATATCTATATATACGTCTATACAACTTTTTTTCTTTTTCTTTTCTTTTTTTTTTTTTCTCCGCGTTGAATGGTTGGATTTATTTATTTTTTTTTACCAGAGCGTATATTTGTATGGTAGATTACACCGCGTAAGGCTCAAGAACAGGAATTTGTCGTACGCGCATTACAAATAGTTTTAAAAGAAGGGGGAGAGGGAGAGAAAAGAGAGAGAAAGAGGTAGAAAGAAAGGGGGATTTTCAGTTATTTTTTTTACTGCGCAAGGAGGAAAAGACAACCCATTAGGAGGGAGGTGGAAGGGAGGGGAACGAAGAAAAAAAAAAAAAAAAGAAAAAAGTACATACGGGCGAATTGACATCATGATGCAACGCAGTTTCTTTCGGCTGGCAGGGCGCAGCGGGGCCTTTGCGTTATGCGGGACGCTGCGGAGCCCACCGTCTACGGGCACTGCCACCGTGCAGGAGAATAGCCCCAAGGCATTCAAGATGCAGCCGATGCAGCCCCATTCGCGTTCCACACACATGTACGAGACGAGTGCAAAGGGAGGCGAAGTGGGTGCCCGAAACGAGGCCGCCTGCATGAATTACGAAGCATTCCAACCAACGGACCTTAACGGCATGCTGGCAATGCCACACACAATCAATTTGCTGACAATCACGCCGATTTACTGCTTTCTTGTATGCCTTGCCAGCGTGGCATGGGGGATCTTCTACTGGGATTTGTACTGCCGCCGCACCTACGAGACGGTCCTCATTGCCCGGCCGGAATCTTTGCGCTGATGGAAGAATGAATGGATGAATGAATGGATGGGCGAGGCAAATGGAAGAAAGAAAGGAAAAAAAAAAAAAAGAAAAAAAAAAAAAAGAGGTTTTGAAGTTCTTTGAAGAACTAAAACAACAACAACAACAAAATAAAATGGTTTTACTGGAAATTTTTGTTGTTGTCTTCCCCATCTTTTTTTCTTTTTTTGTTTGGCTGCAAATTTGGCTCTGCAGCGCAGGGCGATGTTTCATTTTGTTCCTACACACAAACAGACAGACAGACAGACAGACGCAGAATGTCTCTTTCTTTCTTTTTTTTTCTCTCTTTCTTTAATGACAAGGGAAACAATCAAAGAAATAATTAATAAAAGAAAAAAAAAAAAAAAGGGGAAAAAAAAAAGAGACAAAACACGATGCATGAAGGAGATGGAGCGGCATACAACGCAACACGGGCAGAGCGCTTTGAGAGGTTTTTGCCAGCCGAGACCTTCCCGCCGTCGTACACTCAAGTAGCCACTTCAGCGGGAGAAAAGGAGTTGCTCGCGGCAACGGAATTATTCCGGGAAGAGTACCATGAGTACTACCCGGACCGTGCCCCATTGCTTCTTACTCCATTGAACGAGTGCCATGCACGTAAAATGATATGCACCTTTATTAAACCGACCGTCTTCCCCTTTGAGGAGTTGTTTGATCTGGGGCCATGCGCGCGGTACTTTGCAGGGTACATGCGTTACGAGCCACTGGACGACCTGGAGAAGTTACCGGAGGTTGTCGTGTCTCCAGCGACAGCACTGCAGTGGCGAGTGGGCAACTGCTTTGAGCTGAGCCTTCTCCTTGCGTCCGTGCTGGCGGGCGCTGGGTACAATGTATACGTGGTCGTTGGCTACGCGCGGCGGTTTGTCTGCGACAATGACTCCTCAAAGCGCATGTGGAGCGACAGTGAGGGCCTTTTTCATGAGGTCGAGTCCAATGATGAGCAGGAGGTGGAGCCGGAGCTGGATGCGGAGTACGCTCAACTTGTGACAGGCCGGCCAGTGCTGCGTGGCGTCCATGATCCTGAACCCGCCGCTTTGCAGCCAAAAGAGGTTGCGCCGCGGGAAAAACAAATCACGAACACCACAGGAATTGGAATGGGCTTCGCGGGTGATGAGGGGGAAACAGCGAAGTCGGTGCGGAGCGCAGATTCCCAACCTTTCGATGACGGGAAGCAAGAAGAAATAGAACAACAACCACAACCACAACAAAAACAACACATGCCCCAGAAACATCTGCACAGCTGGCTGCTTGTCTTGCCGGGTGGTCGCAAAAGTCAGAAGGAGGCTGTCTTTGTTGAGCCCTCCACTGGGGATTTGATCCCACACAACACGGCAGACGCCTTCTACACTGGAATTGAGGCTGTTTTTAATAGACGCAACTACCAGGTAAATCTTGCCCCTAATGCTCCAGTGAGCGCCCTGACGCTTGACCTGGATGACGGTACACAGTGGGAAGGCATGCTGTTTGACCTGGATGCGGAGGAAGAACGCGATCTGAACCTGCAGACAACCACAAGTGGCACCGGCGATCGATTTAATTACACCACCACTCCTGGTGTGCGGTGGCGGACGCATGGAGGGGATATAAGCACACAAAATTTAGCCTCTACCACCTTTGTTGGCGCTGCCACTATCAGTGGCAGTATTCCTTCATTAGCTGCCGCCGCCACTGTGAATGTGCTCACGCATTCTACGCGGGATAAAGGGCCGCGGCGAGGCTTCATCTCGTGGGTAAAAGACTTAACTCTCAACCGTGAACAGTACGAGGGTCGCTATCCAGGCGGCAAGAAGTCTATAAAATACGCTAATGCGGAGGTACTTTGTTTTGCGCCATACGCGATGCCAGATCTCCGCGTTATGGAAGTACGACTCCCTGATACGACGTATCGCCATCAAAAGCAGGTTCACACGCTCTTTAAGCACCGCGCCGACAAGCTGCGTCGCCGTTCCGTTTACCCATCCAAGGGAGAGGAATACGGGGACAACGCCGGAAAGGATGGTGACATGGATGATGATGGGCGCAACTTCTATGGGAATGCTACCGCTCGCGTTGGCGAGGCAGCATCGTTTCGTCTGGTGAAGGAGTGGTATGAGCGGGGTAGAATGCGGGAGGCATCGGTGGAGGGGTTGCGCCTCTTCACGCATGAGCCTGGAGTGGAGCGCACCATGAATTTCTACTGGGACGCGCGGGATGACGGTTTGTGGCGTCGCCAAGAGTTTTTCTACGAAGGATGCATGCTACGTAAGGTGAAGGAATTTTACCGGCAGCGGGACGACCGTCTGTGGTACCGTAGTGCGTCTTTTGAGCGTATCACCTCCGTTTTGCGGGTTTCAAGAAATCGTGGCAGCCTCTTTGGCGATCGCCCCAACGACGAGAAGCAAAGATTCGAGCCTGTGCGAGTGAGTGAAAAGTATCATCGCAATGAAGCGATTCCGCCGGACGAGGATGTGGCAAAATATACATTTGTGCGGTTTCCAGGCGGCAACGGCGGTGAGATGTGGGTGTATTTCCACTACCGCCCCGACAGTATGATACGCCCCTACCGTATGTACACAAAAGGGCCACGTGGGGAGGAGTACTTGGCGTCGACAGTCGTCGGCAACGCCCCAGCCACCCTGCCCTCCACCGTTGTACTCATGCCGAACGCCGAGGAACCCTCTGAGCTGGAGCAGTACAATGAAAGGAAGCGCCTCGCATGGTGGGAGAGTTTCTGCCTTGGCAAGGTGTACAGCATGATGGCGGAGTGTAATGGCATCCTCAGCGCGATGCGCGATGCACGTGGGCCGGAGGTGCGAAGTGTTCTTTCTGTCTTTGACACGCTGCGCAACCGGCCGCATGAGACGGAGGCGGATCGGGCGCGCAAACTTGCGGAGGAGGCCTCACGCGAGGCGTCACGCAAGGACTATCTTGCACCGTACATCGCGAAGCTGGCACTCCCGAGCAGTTTTGATGGCGACTACCTGAATGTCTCTCTTAGCATTGACCAGGCACGAAAGGTGCGGGACGAGGCCCTGCAGGAACTGAAGGAGCGCCTCATTCAGCGCGGTCACATTATGCAATCGCAGATGGACGCGGAGAAAAGGGACTTCAACGAAAGGCAGGCCGCGTATCAGAGTAAATTAGACGCCGCAGGGCTCGACGCGGGCCGCGACGAGGAGGAATTTGCGCAATACTGCAAAGAGGCCACTTGGCGCATGAAGACACTTGACGAGCGGCTCTCCAAACACATTGATCAGTCCAGTGAGAGATACGCCCAACTTGCGCAGCGCCTCTCAGAAGATCCGCGGCTCAAGGCATTATACAAAGTGTAGCAATATTCGTCTTAAACTACTCAGACAGTGCGACGGAGAGGCACGGAGAGAATACATGTGCATAGCAGGAGATGGGGGTGAGGGACGTGTTTGCATGTATATACATATATATGCACGTGGCGTAGATGTAAAGTGAAACACAATGTGATGCACCAGCTTAGGTGCTGTTTGGCAGCAGAAGGAAGTAAAGAAGATGAAAGAAGATGGAAACAACAAATGAAAATAAAAGCAGGCAATACATACCGCTGATGGTGTGTGTGTGTGGGGGGGGGCTGTAATTAACTAACGTCTATGACTGCAACGGATGCATCTTCTGTGGTTTTTAAATTTTTTTTTTTTTTTTTTAAGGTTTTATCTTGTAGCCGCGGCAGAAAGAGGACACGGAGGGGAAGGGGCGAGGAGGAGGCGGAGGAGGCGGCGGCGGCGGCAAAAGGGGGAAAAACAAGGACAGGCACAAACTTATTGCACCGAGGAGGGGGAAAAAAAACAAAATTTTTTTTTTGTGTGTGTTTGCGTGCCTGTTAGAGTGGGTGGGAGGTATGCTTTTCTTTGGATGGTTTGCCTGCAATTCTTCGCTGGCGGCGTTCTGTTTGGAGGAGTTGCGTGCCGCCGCGGCCACTCTGGAAGTAGACATCCGTGTGCAGGAATGCTTGCCATGGCTCCGCGCGGACTCATCGCAGACGGCGTTTTGCGTCTTTGATGCGGCGTCTGTTGCGGTGGCACGGCAGGTCGCTGGGCGATGTGTACTGCTTCGCGCGGTGCACCTCCTCATCGCCGCGGCGGCGTCCGTAGAGGACCTACTGGCGTGCATCGCTGGTACGAGTGACGGTGGCATTGGCGAAGCAAAGTGGCTGCGAGGGATGGCGTGGCCAGACGACACCATCTTCCGCCCCGCCGACTGTACAGTGCAGGTGGAGACAATCGGACGGCACTACACGCTGGAGGAGAAGACGGCACTGGCGACACGTGTCAGCGTCGCAATGCGGATTTTGCCTGACGCGTCACGTCCACGGGCGACGGAGCAGCGCCCGCACCGCCTTTCTTTTGTCGTGGAACATGCGATTGAGAACGCACCCACCGGAGCTCCGGCCTCGTGGCTGCCCTGCGGCCGTGTGCTGCGTGTATTCTGTGGCGCTCTCGTGTCGGAGTCCAACCGGCAGCATCTTCTTGCGACGTATGATCTTAAACGACGTCCGTACATTGGCACAACTTCGATGCCGCCCGAACCGGCCTTTGTGATGGTGCATCTGGCGCATGTGCGGCGTGGGAATTATGTGTTCGACCCGTTCTGCGGCACCGGCAGCATTCTTATTGCCGCGGCACATTACGGGGCCGTCACACTTGGTGCTGACGCCGACGCGCGTGTGATGCGTGGTGGTTCATTGCGTTGCAAAGCGAGCAAACAGCAACAGCAGCAACGCGAGGTGGCCGTGCGTTCATACACGCAAGATACCCTTGAGCGGGCCGGCATCACTGCAGCGGAGGCAGAGGCACCGTCGATGTGGACAAATTTCAAACTCTACGGCCTCACACCGCCTGATCGCGTGCGTATGAACTTTGCCAACTGGCACGCCGCGTTGCGTCCGTGCAACATGCATGGCAGGGAAAAAGGTCCCACAAACCGCGGTGATCGCGGATTCCTGGACGCCATCGTGACGGATCCCCCGTATGGCATACGTGAGCCACGCAAGAAGGCGACACGCCTGAGAGGAGAGAAGGCCGAGATGGAGGAGGGAACAGACATCCCGGCGTGTTATCCGGTTAGCAGCATCGTGCTGGATTTGATGCTTTTCGCGGCCGAGTCGCTTGTGCTGGGCGGCCGACTCGTGTTGTGGTACCCGACCACCACCACCACACGGTACACCGACGATGAGTTGCCAACGCACCCGTCGCTGCGCCTCGTGTGCGACATACCGCAGCGGGTTTCCCTGAAGATTGTGCGCCACCTCATTGTGATGGAGAAAACACGGCCGCTGCCGTCTCCGCCACCCTCCCGTGCGAGCTGCGCCGCGACGCGGCAGGCATCCGACCTCCGCGTACTGATGGACGCCACCGACCTCCCCGACAACGCGGATTACATGCATTACCGCTCCAAACTGCTGCGGAAGCGGGACTCCACGAGGCGTTACTTTGCCACCACCACCTCATCGTCCCTGAGCACGCATGGCGACGACACGCCTGGCGAGGCGAAGGGAGAGCGGAGGAAGCTGTCAAGAGCTGAGCGGCAGGATATTATTGTCGCAAATCGTGAGCGGAACTTGCAACAGAAGCGACAACAGCAAAAAAACAACAGCAGTTGACATGGAGGGAAGAAAATTGCCACAGTGACAACGAAGGCGAGGGAGAGAGGGGGAGGCATTCGAGTAAATGACGGGATGGGATGTTGATGCAGACATTCCATCATTATGAGAAGACAACTTTCTCTTTATTATTGTTATTATTTTCTTAATTGTTGTTTATTATTTCTTTGTCTGTCCTGCACACATGCATGTATGCGGGAAATTGGAATGAAATTCTCTCAGTTCCAACGAGATGTTCTTTCTTTTTCCTCTTGTTTTCTTTCCCCCCCTTTTTTTCTTTTTTTAGGCTGTGAGAAGGGCGTCTTGTAGCATTTATATTCGCATTATTTCCATCGTTCATTGTTTGTTTCTGTGTCTGCGTGGATCTTCCTTTTTTTTTTTTTTTTCTTTAAATTTGTGAGCGAGGAGGTGGGGGAGGGCCGGTTGTGTTTGCGCCGATGAACAGTGTGCATGGGGAGCAGGTGGAGCACAAAAACTCGACCGCACGTCTCGTAGCAGCCGCCGGGCGCCAGTCGACACCGTACGGCGAGGATGAAGAAGTCTGCGGCGTTTGTTTAGAGCAGCCGATGGAAGGCTGTTTTGTGGAGTTGTGGTGCTGCGGCAATGTGTTGTGTGTTGGCGATGCGCAGCTGCTGGGGACATGCCCTTTTTGCCGGAATGAACCACTCATCTGGAGCATCACGAAGTGAACATGTCATACACACACACAGAGAGAGAGAGAGAGAGAGGAAGAGAGGAAGAGAGGAAGAGAGGAAGAGAGGAAGAGAGGAGCAGACAAGTGAACATGAGTGGAGCGATAGGACCTTTTTTTTTTTTTTTTTCTCTTTTTCCCTTTTCCGCCCCCCTCCTTTTTTTCCATGCGTATTGGCATATGCACATGGATCGTGTATGGGGTAATGTGCGAGTTTTTAGTATTTCTCCTTCTTTCTCCCTCAGTCTCCGTCAATGTCATTTGCGGCATTTCAAACCGAGTTGGGCGGCAGGTAAAAATGTCCATTCACCCATCCATTTGTCCAAAAGACACGTGTTCTTCTCCCCCCCTTTTTTTCTTTTTTTTTCCTTTTTTTTTTCTACCGGCCTTTTTTTTCACTCACGTAACCGAAAAGTTCTCAAATAAAAAAGAAAAAAAAAAAAAAAAAGGAAAAAAAACAACAACCCAAACAAACACAACAAAATAACCAAAACCAAACCAGCCGCCTTTACACGAGAGGAAGAGGCGGAAAATACAAAAAAAAAAAAAAAAAAGAAAAAAAAGAAAAAAAAAGGGAAAAAATATGTTGCCATGTTTCACACGGAAGCCGGTGGATCATCCACTTGGGTTTCTCGTGGCGTTGTCAGGTCTGCTCATGCAGCTGATGTCGTACGGCATCGACAACAGTTACTCCATCTTCTCTGACGACATGCATAAAGACCCCTCGCTTGGCTACCCGTCTGTCACGACCATCAGCCTCGGCAACTCCGTCTCATTGGGCCTCTCGCCGGCATTCGGTGTGCTGTGCGGGTTTCTCGTTGACCGGGTACCGCCGCGCCTTATGATGGCTGTCTCCACGTTGATGCTCTTTGCTGGCCTCTGGCTTAGCTCCACCTTCGCCCATAACGTCACCGCCGTGACATTCTCGTACTGCCTGTTGGCATCCATCTCGTCCGCATGTATGTTGTCGCCGGGTGCCGCCGCCACGAGCTCGTGGTTCAACCGCTACCAGGGACTTGCCATGGGCATCAACTTCTCCGGCGGTGGTGTCGGAAGTGCAATCATCCCTTCTTTGGCTGGTAAGTGGGTTGTGGCGTACGGCTGGCGCAAAACCTTCCGACTCATGTCTGCCTTTTGCGCCATTGGTGTTGTGGCAACGTTGCTTTCAGCGAGGCGAGCCCCGCCCAAGAAGGAGGAAGCAGGGCCCAGTGAATACGACGAGGGACAAGAACGGCAGGAGCAGGGCGAGGAGGAGCAAGCCCACACAGACGAGGAAAACAGAAACAACAACAACAGCAACGGTGAGACGACACCCGCGCGACGCGGCCTGCACACACACAAGTTAAATCCATGGGAGCTCTTTTTAACTATGTTCTCGCGGGCCTTTTTGGGAAACTTTTTCTGCTGGTTAATCTTCAGCTGGGCCTTCTACTCATTGATTTATGTGGCTGTGCCCTATGTGTCGTCTATGGGAAAGGCCGGTACCGTGTACGCAGACATATCGCCAATCCCAACGGACATTGCATCCACTCTTTTTACGTTTTACGGCGTGTTTCAAATCGTTGGCTCTATTCTCGTTGGTTGGCTTGCGACAGGTACCACGAATGAGTTTGCGTACGTCTTATGCGCCACAATTGGGGGTATTTTTTGTGCCTTTTTGGGTTTTTGCCGCAGTTACGTTGCCTTTGCCCTCCTTCTTTGCGTGATTGGTTTCTGCATGGCAGGGATGTTTGCCGTCATGCCAGCGCTTATTGCGGAGCGGTTGTATGGACCAAATCTCGGTTTTTACATGGGCGCCGTCTTTCTCGCCGGCGTCGTCGGAGGCTTTTCCGCACCGCCTATTCAGGCCGAACTACAACAGCGTCACTACGGCAATTACACCTACGTTTGTGTTTTCATGAGCGCCTGCATGACACTGGCGGCCGCCGTCTGCTACATCACAATGTGGAGGGACAAGAGAGTTCGCATCGTGAGCGCCGCAGCAGAAGCAAAACTTGCGTAAAGACAACGACAAATAAATTATATATATATATATATAGTGTATGTATGTATGTATGTATGTATGTATATGTGACTGTATGTATGGGAGAGGCGAGAGGGAGAAGGAGGAGGAGAAATCTGACCGTAGACCGTATGGAGAAGATCATCATAATCAAATACATGCATGCATGCATACAATATACATTATATATATATAATATACAATATTGGCGTTTCAGGCAGCATGAGGGAAGAACACGCACGCACACACACAAAAAAAAAAAGAAAAGAAGAAGAACTTCTTTCTTTTTTTGTTTGTTTGTTTGTTTTTAAAGGGGAAAAAACAAAAACAAAAACACAAAAAACAAAAAAAAAAAAAAGAGGAAAGGTGTAAATGAAACACGAGGGAACAAGAAAGAAATAAAGCAGGGAATGATCCGCAATGCACATGACAGGAAGGCAAGGCAAGAGAATAGAAGGGAAGACTGCCCACAGGGACATTTTCAGGGATTTTCTTTTCTTCGTTTCATGTCTGTTGTTGAAATGAAAAACAAAAACAAAAAACAAAAACAAAAAGAAAACAAAAACAAAAAAACAAAAAGGGACGTCTGCGCGTGTATTTTTGAGAGGGAGGGGGGGGGGATGACGATGACGGAAAGGAAGAGACATGCCGGTGCCAATGTGTTGCACGGGTGGATGTCTCCTTCTTTTTTTTTTTTCTTTTCTTTTTTTTTTCTTTTTTTCGGGTGGTTGTCAGCGGGTGGGATGAGAGATGCGGGTGCCTCCAAAGAAGAGAAAAGAAACGACACACGACGATGACTGCCGGCGTTGGTGCCGCAGCACATCAACCGTGCAACCCTTCATCTTCATCATCATCATTAATACTACGACTACTACTACTAATACTATGATTACTACTACTATGATTATTAAAGCCATCGTCATTTTTTTTTTTTTTGTGGTAATTCTTTTCGGTTCTTACATACATACACACATACATGCATCTAATGTACCTAGATATATACATATATATACCTATCTATCTTTGTATTTGTATTTGTATGTTGATGGTCCCGAATGAGTGTACCGATATTTTTATAAATATGCATGCATGTAAACACACACACACACACACACAACAGACGCATGCACATGCACATAAATAAATACATAAATACATACATACACATATATATATATATATATATGTATACGTGTGTATATGTATGCGTCTATGCATGTACCCGCTGATGGACGTCGTCCTGCACGCAAAATGGTGCGGAAAACGCCCTCTGTTTTCTTTCGCTGAGGCGCGCAAATGATCGCTCACGAGAGAGACAACGAGCGGCGACAGTTGGTGTACATGCATACTACCTTTCTTCCTGGTATATATATATATACATATATATATCTTTTCTCTCTCTCTTTTTTTTTTTTTTTGTGTGTGTGTGTGGATGCATGCCCTTTTGTTGTATCAACAAATTGATTTCTTTTTTTTTTTTCTTTTTTTTTTCCTTTTCCTTTCAATCGCTTGTAATTAATGCTGCAGTTTGCTACCGCTGCGACTGACATGTATGTATCTATCTATTTTTGCGTGTGTGTTGTGTGTGTGAAGGATCCAGCACGAGGAGGAGACATCCCTCTCTCTCTGTATATATATGGAGGGAGAGGGAGAGAGGGAGAAAAGGAAACAGAAAATATAATAAATAATAATGAAAAAAAAAAAGGATTTTTTTTTTTTTTTTTTTTTTATTGGGAGGGGAGGGGGAGGGGAAGGGGGGGGAAAATGAAACAGATGTCATGCGTGAATGAAATGAAAGGCAATGAAATTGGGAAAGAGAGAAATGAAATTTTTTATTTTTTTTATTTTTTATTTTTAATTTTTATATTTTTTTTTTTCCCCTCTAATCCCCAAACCAAACACACACACACATGTGCAGACATGAAATGTATATGTGGGGCTGCGATGTTGTCATGCTGTCTTTTCTTCTTTTTTCTTCTTTCTTCTTCTTATATATTTATTTATTTTGCTTTTTTTTTTTGGCGCCTTGCACTGAAATGCATCCGAGAGGACCAACAGACAGACAGACAGACTTATATATATATATAGAGAGGAGGGAGATGGTTGTTGTGAAGGGGGGCGGCACACCGTACACCATTGGCAATGGGCGGCAGATGCCGTGGGAGGAGGTGCCGGAGAAATTTAAGGAGAAGCTGCGGGAACAGACGGAGGTTGAGAAGTGTGTTGGGATGCGTGCAGAGGCACAGGCGTGTATCGAGGAACGCGGCTTTTGGGACCCGGCGTGCGTGGATCTGACGGAGCGGTTTCACTTATGCCAGTCAATGGAACTCTCACGCGGGATAAATAAATGGCAGGAGAAGGGCGGCGTCAACGAGAAGGAGGCATGAAGGAGGAGGCAAACACACGTAATGTACGCCCGCGCAAACGAGGGGCGAGTCTGGGGGGGGGGGGGGGGGGGTGAAGTCATGGGGAGCAGACAAACACACGGCACAGTTGGGTGTGTGGGAGTCGGCTGTGGGGTACATGCATCCAAATATCGCTGACACAAAAAGCACACACACAGACACAGAGAGTGAGAGAGAGGGTCTGCCTTTTTGTCAATTCTTTTTTTTTTCTTTTTTTGCTGCGTCTATATACATATATATAAGATATATGTATTTTGCTTTTTTTTTTCCTTTCATGTCTATTGGCTTTGGAACAAAAACAACAATAACGAAAGGCCGCAAGACAGGGGAGGAAAAGGAAGGGAAGAGAAGAGAAGAGAAGTGAGGGGGTTCCAAGCGCCATCTCATTCCTCATTCATAGCACAGCAGTTCTTCAGTGATATTAAACGTGATTGTAGGATTGGTAGTATTAGGGGGGAGATCAGAGAGAAGGGGGTGGTT